GTATTGATTAAAATAGAATTCTAGTTGAAACATGCCAAAGCATATAAAATTTAATGAGCCATTACTTAAACCTAGCTTTAGTTCACCTTTTCCCTAGTCCTAAATTCTTTTTTTATTTTTATTAAAAATTTCCACCTCCTCCCCTCCTCACATTTCCCTCCCCCTTCCCCCATTCCTCCTTCCCCTCCCTCTCCAGTCCAAAAAGCAGACAGGGTTCCCTGCCCTGTGGGAAGTCCAAGGTCCTCCCCCCTCCATATCTTAAACCCAACTCTGTGCTAGGTGGATTTCGTAAGACTGTATTCAGTTGCTTATGTAATTTAATAGTCTTCATTATAAGAGAGAGGGTCTCTGTTATTTTCATATTTCATTTCTAAATGTTAGACGCTAGGTACCACACTCCAGTCCCCTCGGTGCTGGAGAGTGAACCTGGTACCTTGCGCACACTAGACAAACGTTCCACCACTGAGCTGCACACCCAGGTCCTGGAACCTGCACTCAACACCTCACTATAAAGAATCCTAACAAACTTGGTCCGGTAACATGAGAAGGAAAACCCAAGTTCTGAGTTACCTCGTCTGCCTCTCTTTTCATGCAGTGAGCCAGAAGGACATCTTTATGTTCTAGCTCCCGTTCTAGATCCACCTGGAAAACAGAGCAAATCAGGAAAGTGTTTCCTTCAGGTCAAGGGGTCAGGCAGGCCAGTGGCTTCTGCGTCCTGACCTGCTGGTAGCTGGCATCCGAGAGTTTCCGGAGGGCTTCTTCCAACTTGGCCTGCTGCTGCTGAAGGAGGCGGTCCTTCTGCCCCAGCTCTTTCTACAAGGGAGATAAGCTCTCAGAGGTGTGCAAACACAAGGATATCAAGTGGTTCACACTCTGTACACCCTACCCCGTGAAAAGAAGAGCCTCAGGGACACGGGCTTCCTTCACACTATGTCTGGAAGGCTTTCCACACCATCACAGTCTTACACAGTGCCAGGATTCTTAGAAAGGCAAGAAGGAAGCAAACCTCTTGTAGGAGGGCCACTAAGGGCCATCCTCGCTACTGAGATAGAGGTGAGTTTGCCACCGACTCTTCCCACGTTCCTGTGCTATGCCCCTTTCCAGAGCTATAATGCTGTAGAGCTAATGGAAAGATTTCCTACCAGAGAGCAGAGAGAGAGTTGAATATGGAAGTGCCCTTTGAGCATCAGCTAACATGGGTCATTCACAAAAGGTCACCAGGAGGGCAGTTCTTACTTTGTATTCTCCTAAGAGCCGGTTCCTCTCGTCTAGCTTCCTCTGCAGATCCACCTGCACAGGTGAGAGAGAACTCAGTGGCAAGGAGGTATCATATACCAGCCCTCAGGGAAACCAGCCGCTTGGCAGCAAGAGTTAACGACAGTACAGTATAAAGCACAGAGAGGGCAGGCTGTGACAAAACACACACCAGCTCCCTGTGTCTTTAAGCAGACGGTAAAGACACAATTTGGCCTTAGTGTTCTCCAAGCTGAGGCCGAGTCAAGGACCATCTGAGGTGCTGTAGGCTTAGGTGCTGTGACCTAAGACCAGAAATGAGTCTTACGGGAATAAAAATAACTATAGACACGGCAGGTGGGCACCTGGGAATAAAATAAGGAGACTACAAGGGCGGCTGAGCAGCCTTCACGAAGCATCCCCTGTGACTGACGGGCGCTCTGAGGCCATTGTTCACACGTTCGACTCACGTTCTGGTTGTGTAGCTCATCCTTGTCCATATTTGCCCTCAGAAGCTCTTGCTTGAGCTGAAGAACAGATGTGTCCTGCTGAGTCAACCTCTGCTGCAAGGCATCCTGGGGAAACAAGGACACCCACCATTGCAGCCTCAATCCATCACCCGCCCAGTCAGTGCTTCTTACTGAGTTCCTCGCTGCACTGCGCATCGAGCACTAGTTCTGTCAAATTGGGGGATGAGAGGAATAGCAAGGACTTTGCCACAAGGACCTGGGTAGACACTGTCAACTACAGGGAAATCACATCCATTGCCCTACCGAGAGAAACCGGGTTTCCCCTCGCCTACAGCTCATCCTAGTCAGACAAGAAGGGGTAGCTTTTGAGAACAGACAGACATAGATCCACGTTAAATGCCCATCATGTCTTACTTGGAAGACACTGACCTTGAACGATGGAGTCCTCCTCCTCCCCCCTAGTTTTCTCGTCTACCTCTTGGGTATATAAACAATCCACCTGATATAGTGCCTTCTCTCTCTGCCTAGTCCCCATTTCCTAGAGCAGGGGTTCTCAGCCTTCCTAATGCTGCAACCCTTTAATACAGTTCCTCATGTTGTGGTGATCCCCCAACCATAAAATTATTTTCTTTTTTTCTTCTTCTTCTTTTTTTTTTTCGAGACAGGGTTTCTCTGTAGCTTTGGAGCCTGTCCTGGAACTAGCTCTGTAGAC